GGGCGTAGGAAGACTGAACTAGACATGATCAAGTGCAAGCTGAACCTAGACAAACTTCTGAAACGTTTTCATATAAACAATGTAGATCAATGTACACTGGTGGGTGGACAATGTACATCAGTGGGTCAACAATATATGAATTTTATTTCCTTTTCTTTAACTTATGGAACTTTTACAGTATATATTACATACTATAATATAATATACTGATACATAACGTCACAATAAAAAAATCATTGACCTTCCCAACTTCTCGATCCCATTGTATTAATTCTTCTCTACTCTTGAATAACTATGTACCAAAATTGCACATTATGAATAAACATAAAAGAGTATAAGTAAATCAATTGCGTAGTCAAGCAAATATTACCTTATTTGTGGTAAATTCACTATTACAGTCCACCATATGTGTAGATGCTGAATTATTACCAGATTCATCTACCTTTTGCAAACGAATTCCACCATACGTAAATAAATGGGCATTACATCAAGTTGAAAATAGTGCTAATTAAGAAAGGGATTTGTGTGTAGGTTTCGGAGACAACACATCAAGTTGGACGATTATCAGTGTTAGTTGTGACAAACATGCCTTACTTGAATTATTACCCTAACCTAATGAAAATGAATTCCAGGAATTCTCATAGGAAAACGTAAAACAAATTGCACCCTAACCTAATGCAAATTCAAATAAAAAGTCACATAGCTATGCTTCAATTGTACGATGTTGACAAATCAAAATGAACCACATAAAATTATCTTTACCTCTTCAACGGAAACATAATCATCTACTTCTTCCATAAAAATGTCATCTTCTAAGTTCATTATTTTTGCTTTCTCTGAATGATTTTGCTTTCTCTGAATGAAAGGAGATGGGAAAGATGAGTTAGGGTTTAAGAGAGACAAATCTTCTAAACATAGCGTGAGAGTTATCACGCCCAAACTTTTCTTTTTTCTTTTTTATAAAAAAAAAATAGGTAATGCAAAATGGGGTAACTAAGGTCCTTATTAGTCATTCTACAAAGGGACAAATTTGTAAATAAAAATTCATAAAAAGGTGGGTTGGAAGATAAGACATTGGGGTAGGAATAACAACTCTTTTTTTTTTTTTACTTCAGAAAAATAATATATTTATCTAATAAAACTATCCCAAAAATATTTGTTCTTCAATCATTTTCCATGAAACAAATGAGTTCAACAAGAGTTAAACAACATTGACCCTCTCCCTCCTAACTGTCTTATAAATTTGAGCTCCCGGCCCTATACATATATGTTTTAACTCTTTGTTTTATTCAATGTAACAACCTTGATCTAAAAATATATTTAAAAGAACATGCGGATGTACATTAGTATGGGTCGGTCAAGTGCTCGACGAATATTCTCACTGCAAAAGTTGAAAAGAGATTTTTGGTGCTATGCATGCTATTGTTGGAATACAATGAAAATACAGTCCTACATCCGCCACTATATAATTATACCCTAGGTGTACTATCATTCTAACTTCTCCCCTGTCCAAATGGTTAGAGAATTCTTCTTCATGTTTTGATACTATGAATTTGGTCAAGGTATGTGCAATAAATAATAGCAAACCATAAAGAGCTTGTGACAATTCTTCACAGCTTCAAGCAGTGACTCCAATATATTAGTTTTTCTATATTAACTAACACATGTGTATTTGAATTATTTTGACTTCTTATTTCTGACTTCTCTTGCATTTACTAATAATACATACATAATGAACTAACATGTGGCACCTCTCTCCAATAGCGAAACTAAAAATTATTTTGTAGGTGGACTAAGGTATAAAATTATTACTATGAAATCAAATGCTTAATTTTTTTTTTTACCTACATAAAGTTATATAATAATAATTCTGAAAGTAATAACTTGAAGTAAGAAATTTATAAATCTGCATAAATCAAGTTTCAACTAGATTTTACAAATAAGAGTAGGTGATCAATGTCATGAACAGTGAACAGTGGTTTGTGATTTCTAGTTTCAGCATGCCCATTAGTCTTATAATTTTCCTTATGTACAAGAATTTGTTAAACTTCCTCCTCCTTTGATAATTAGCTTATTTCATGTTTAATTTGGTTTAGGCCTTTTTATTTTACATCCTTGTAACTCTTTTTAGAGATCTAATGATTGAATAAAATTGATGGAGTTTGATCATCTCTAGGTCTGTGTGATGCAATCTAACCCTAGGTGTGATGCTATATCCTCCAGGAGTGATTCAACACTCCCTTAACCATCTCTTATTCGAATGATTTTTTGTAGGAATGATCTTCAAATGAAGAATAAGAAATTGAATGGTTCAGATTATAGAATTCATACGGTAAATATACATTATTCGCAGGAAGTGAAATATGTGAATTACACCCACAGAGAGATGCAAATACCATCGATGTTTTTATTATAGTACGAAAGTTTGGGATCAATATTCTAAGGTAAAAGTGTAGACTTTGATAGAGAAAAACTGCCTTTGTTGTGTAGTTAGGTAATGGTGTTTGGTGCTTATTATTCTGATTGTGCTGTTTCTCATATGCTAAAGAGAGTCTTCAAAAGAGTGGAAAAAGGAGAGAGAATGATGCTTTTCAAAAGCATTTACATTACGTGTTACCAAATATAATACATAAGTAGTGCTCGAGGTACATATCATGTCTTCCAATTGTTTCTGCAATGCACCAGAGCATTGCGTACCCTGTAAAATAAATAATACGGTTACAAATTCATAGCATTTAGGGCTGGTTTGGTATTGCTGTGCTTTGAAAAAAAGCTGCTATGAGAATAAGCGGCTGTGAAATAAATCAGCAGAGTGTTTGGTAAACTTTTTTGTAAAAGTGCTTTTGGAAAAAAAAAGCAGTCTAATAGTGGGTCTTTTCATTAAAGGAGCAATGTAGCTCTGTGTGCTTTGAAAAAAAACCAGTTTTCCAAAGCTGCAAATAGCAGCTTTGGCTTTTTCCTTTGATTTCAGCTTATTCTCACAGCAGCTTCCAAAATAAGCCCTTTTTTTTCAGTTTACCAAACACCTAAAATCCTCACAGCTTTTTTTCATGGGTGTTTTTTTTTTAATCACCTCACTCCCAAACCACCTCTTAATATCACCGAACATTGTAACCAGACCCATCTTTTCACAAAGTGAGAGAATAGTTCCCAACACCTGAGCAGCAGTGACACCCAAAACCCACGCTGAGGTGTGCCCACAGATCCACAAAAGCCTCATAAATCTGGTTGTGAAACAAGATATTCCATTTTATTGACAAGTAATAATTGATGTTTCCTAACAACTTAAAGGAAATGGGACATGGGGGATTATGTTACGATGGCTGCATAAAGGACACGCACACACACCCTCTCATACCATTGCGTCCACTTTGACGTCCACTTTGATATCATGGGGAAGAGAAAAAGTACGTGCACTCATCGGGCACATCATTGGAGTTTCCAAAACGGACCCTTGCATCTGTTATAGCTTTCAGCGAAACAAGTTAGGGTTTCACTAATATCAATCGCCCGCAAGTGCATGACCTATTTTCATTTATTGTGCATGTCTTATATGATAAAGGTCTGAAATTTCTCAACCGCGTTGGTAATTGAACATTGTGCATTTTAAAAAGCTATAACTGCATACAGTCTAAACCAGAAAGCTTCTAATCTAAATGTAAGGAAAATTCTGATGAATGAGGGTTTACCGCTGTTATTTGAAAGGGATTCGAACTTGAAATTTTTCATTAGTATTACTATTATTATTGTTTGAAAGGGATCTTAAACGGCAAGAGGGTCGTACAAATGGGACCGAAGCTTTGAGGCATTTTATAGTTAGATGTGCACAGTGACTTGTGGAGTTGATTAGGTGACACTTAACAATTGTATTTTCTTCCTACATTTGCTTATGGTCCTGGACCTGGTGGATACACCTTAGAGCAAGTCCACCCCTAAAGACTTTGTGCCAGCATCCAGCCCATTTATCCACTTCAGTTAACATTAATAGACTCTAATGAACAGTAATAGACCAATGCATATCCACCCCTAACAAAAAATAGCCTAATCAATTTTATTAAAATATTATTAATTTTTATTATAAAATAATAAAAATAATTATTTTTTATTATAAAATAATTATTATAAAGCTGGGCAGGGGTTTTGTTTCTTACATAAAAAAGGAAAAGACTTGGACTGGAAAGAAAAAAGGGGGATCTTTCGCCGGGGGGGTTGAACCTGCAAGTTTCGCGGGCGTGCTGGAGGGCGGCGGCGCTGTCGGCCCGTGCGAAGGCGTTGAAGAAGATCACGGGACGGGAAGCGGGAAGCGGGCGGAAGCCGCTCGCAGCGATGAAGTAGCTGCCACCAATGGACAAGAGGGGGGTTCTGAGAGTGAGGTCGAGCGGGCGCGGAGACGGCGGGGAGGAGGACTCCACGACGTCGAGATGGAGCTCAGTGGGGGTGGGGAAGTTGGTCTTCGCCTTGCCTCCGACACCACGCTGGCGTCAGCTAGCGTCACTTGAGCCGGTCCCAAGGTCTGTCGATTTTAGACTGGCCTGTGGACTGGCTTGGGCTGGGTGCCAGTTGATTCCACGGGCTGGAGTGGATTGGCTGAGTCTCAGCCTATTTTTCCCACTGGGTGCCGGCCTATCCCACCCCCGGTGGACTTGCTCTTATGTTCAACCCTCTGTCCCCCATTCCATTAGTGGAGCTTAGAGTAACACATCGCTTGTAATAATCTTTGAATAACTTTTTCATCAAAAAGCCTAAACATTGGTCATTTTATTTCTCCTCCAGTGTCGAATTAATATCAAACGGTCAATGACCACGATTTAAAAATCATGGTCTTCACTCTGCTTATTACTTTTTAGCTACTATTTTTTTTAAGGCACAATCTTACAGTCCAAATTTTAGGATTAAAGTAAACATTCACTTTGTTCATCATTCTATCTTTACATTTTACAGTCTACCAATATTTCTCAACATTGTAAATGTTTTCATAAGCAAGTGCGCGTCTTCAGATATAGTATTTTTCTGGCCATTCCTTTCGATTCTGCCTTTTCATCAACAGCTTAAATCATATACATATTTTCTTTGGGGGAAAAAACTGACGGGATTTTGGAAACCAAAAAGCCAGAGTAGGCCAAGATCAGATGACCAAGATCAACTGGGTTCAGCAAAAATTTAAGCAAATCTCTTATTGACACGGAAAGACGAAAAATGACAAGCAAATACTCAACATCACGGTATTAAGGGGCTTGAAGACTAGAAAAACGCAAACAAGCTAGAATAGGACATACTCTGCATCATTAAACACTCCCACTTGCCATCAAGAATTCGCCCTCGCAGACCAAGTCACCTCCGACATATGCCTTACCCTCCATCTTTGCTATTCCAAACCGTTTTTGAAACTTAACTAGAGTCATTCTCATCACCAATGTGTCTCCTGCAATTACAGGCTTTCTAAACCTCACTTTATCAATTCCTGCAAAGAAGAAATTGTCACGAGATCCTCCAACTTCAGGTTGCAGCATAACAATGCCTCCCACCTGAGCCATTGCCTGCGCCAAGAAAAAGCTTCCGTTAAAACTTAGCAAATTTCATGCACTATAATCAATATAAGTTTGTGGCGAAAGGGAATACAGATGAAAGATATTCCTAGAGCTAGTATTCTAAGGTGATTAGAGCAGAAATCTACTGTCACGATGCATTAGTGTAAGCTTTCATAATTACCAATTCAATGAAGATAATTTTATCAACTCTGAACCTTGTATAAACATATTTCAGCTCTAGAATATAGCTAAAACAAAACAAACTTTCAATGAGACCAACCGAATCATGGAGACCCGAGCTAAAGAGAAGATTCTTTTGATTTATAAGCCAAATGGTTACTTGCATATGTACTAAGGAATCAGAGCGATACTATTATTAATTTCAGTTTTCATGGTTCAGCAACGCTGTTACTGACTTTGTGTCATATGAGAAATAGTTAGTAAATTTCTATTGTGTTACGTTCATTGTGTTCTATCTTCTACTGCATTACTGGAAATCCGCATACCATCCGATGGGACTGATCCTAGCACTTAAAACATAAAACTTCTACCTGTTGCAGCAGGTAAGCTTATATATCCTCTTCATTAGTCGCCTATATATGGATTTCACTTTCGCTATGGATTATCATGATTATACAGGAAGTTGGACTAAAAGCTTAAAATGCATCTTCACTAAGCCCAATATACTGGAAGTTTAGTAGATTTTTTTTCACTACAACAGAAAGGAACAAGTAGCAAAGTTAGTTGAAAACTGAACTGACGGTTGATTTTGATTTGATCAGCATGCGCCATGAGCAGTTCAAAACTGCTTGAAATAAAAAACATTTTATCACCACAAATGTACTGGAACAGAACAGATTAAACACAAAATGCCTTAGAAAAAGAACCAATACCATATGAAAGAGAGCATACACAATGGAGATACTTTTTTTCCCTCATCTTTTTCTCGTCATAGAAGACGGAGTTAGAGTATCCCAAACCAAACACCAACACACGGACCCAACCACCACGACCCCCACCCCCCCCCCCCCCCCTCCCCATTCCCCCCTTCAAAAAAAAAAAAAACCTAGTCGCATCCCATGGCACCCAAAATTGAATCCATCAAAGAGTGTATTAATATAACGAATTAAATCATGTAGAAGTTGGACCCATTGACTTCCTTAAGGGGTCTGAAAAGCCATTTCCTAGTGTATTAAGTGATCAATCCGAGAGTTGTTCCTTGGGAAAATTGTTACATCGAAGGCTATATTGTACTCAAACCAAACTCTGGGTTAGAGAAGCTGAATCTCTAATTTGGCCTTATCTATCACATAAATGAGTCTTCCAACTTGCAACTAGCCAAATATATCACTCTAATGGACTAAAATATCTCTTGATACAAAATCCAGGAGACTATTTCAGTAACTAGGAAAAAGGCACAAAAGTGAAAAAAGCTCCATCTTGAACCAAGGTTCTAAAAGACACTAGGTGCTAGTCGAGCGGCGGGCTGGGGCCTAGCGCCTAGGAGGCTAGGTGCGCGCCTAAAAGAACAAGACGAATTTAAGTAAATCTATTACATTTCATTTTATTAAGTGTTTGCTTATACTTAAAATATATATAATTTCATCATAAACTACAAAATAGAATGACATATATATTATGAAGTATTGGAACAAAAGGAAAAAAACACGAGGAACAAGCATATAATATGTGTTCATTTAAGTATTCAACAAATCTCTTACAATTTTCTATCTAAGTGAGTCGCAACCTAGCGGCCTAGGTGCCTTTTCTTAATTTTCAAACGCCTAGACATTAATTGGGGAGATAGCCAGTCGCCTAGCGCCTAGGCTGGGCCTAGGCGGCGCTAGGCGGAGATTTTCAGAACAGTGTCTTGAACAAAGATCTTGAAAAGCTTCATGAAATTCGATAAGAATATGCTGCTACAAAAATTTCAATTCAGAAACAAATCAAATTTTACTCTGAAGTGTCCATAGCAATCATAAAATGTCTTCTATGCACATATACAACTATTTCTAATAAATTCCACACTTCAACACAAAAGATCTGGGATTCTTTTAGATGCAGAAATATGAGCTTGAGAGTTAAGACCAACCCAATATTTTAACAACCACGAGAAGAATAAATCAACATGGAATGGCTCAACAACATACACATGTCTAGCTCAACAACACAAATCTTGTTTTGCAAAGAACTCTGCTGCCCACCAAACAGAGTTTGGTTACATATATCCGTCCACATATGAAACCATACACAGATGACCAATTTATGGACTTCAGAAAACATAAGGCAAGTGAATTTGCAGATGAATTTTATAAATCACGTCTTGGTACATTTTCGACCATTTGCATTCTAGCTTAATAGCCCTTTCTCAACATAGTACCCATATCCCCTAACCCAACCCACCAGGAAGTTCATATGCTTTGTTAAACTTTGTTTATTAATAATGTAAGAAACAATACACTATGCTTTACAACTTTCTTTGTCATATGGGCACTCTTGCATGATCTTATTTTTTTCTTTTTCACAGAGAAAATAAAACTCTAACAAAACTGGTAAATTGAAACACTACTTTATTGACTTGCTAGCTCAACAGCAGTGCCATAAAATTAACCCAGATAACTGCCAACATTTCATGCTATAACCATTCAGACCCCCGTTTACTTAGAAATCTTCTCATAATATAAGAACTGACACTAAATAATCAGTTTTATGCCCTGAAAGTTAACAAATTTCAATTTTAATAAATCAGTCCAAAACCATAAGGAAATGTCAGTCCTAAATTCCACATTTTCACCCCATTCTCAAACTCATTACCACAACAACAACAACAACAAAGCCTTTTCCCACTAAGTGGGGTCGGCTATATGAATCCTAGAACGCCATTGCGCTCGGTTTTGTGTCATGTCCTCCGTTAGATCCAAGTACTCTAAGTCTTTTCTTAGAGTCTCTTCCAAAGTTTTCCTAGGTCTTCCTCTACCCCTTCGGCCCTGAACCTCTGTCCCGTAGTCACATCTTCGAACCGGAGCGTCAGTCGGCCTTCTTTGCACATGTCCAAAATCACCGGAAACCGATTTTCTCTCATCTTTCCTTACAATTTCGGCTACTCCTACTTTACCTCGGATATCCTCATTCCCAATCTTATCCTTTCTCGTGTGCCCACACATCCCACGAAGCATCCTCATCTCCGCTACACCCATTTTGTGTACGTGTTGATGCTTCACCGCCCAACATTCTGTGCCATACAACATCGCTGGCCTTATTGCCGTCCTATAAAATTTTCCCTTGAGCTTCAGTGGCCTACGACGGTCACACAACACGCCGGATGCACTCTTACACTTCATCCATCCAGCTCGTATTCTATGGTTGAGATCTCCATCTAATTCTCCGTTCTCTTGCAAGATAGATCCTAGGTAGCGAAAACGGTCGCTTTTTGTGATCTTCGCTAGATTGCTCCGGTCATTAGTGTGGATAAGTATATAAATGGATAGAGATAGGAAAGCAAACACAAGATGTACGTGGTTCACCCAGATTGGCTACGTCCACGGAATAGAAGAGTTCTCATTAATTGTGAAGGGTTTACACAAGTACATAGGTTCAAGCTCTCCTTTAGTGAGTACAAGTGAATGATTTAGTACAAATGACATTAGGAAATATTGTGGGAGAATGATCTCGTAATCACGAAACTTCTAAGTATCGGAGTGTGGTGTCGTCTTGACTTGCCTTATCTGTCTCATAGGTAGATGTGGCATCTTCTCTGGAAGTACTCTTCCTCCATCCAGGGGTGGTATCTTTAACTGGTGGAGATGCACAAGGTAATGTATCAATTTCACTTGAAGCTTACTTGTAGTTTCAGGCTTGGTCAAGCGCGATACAAACCATGTAGTAGGAGTCCCCCAAGTCGCCGAGCTAGGGGGATCTGCTGAAAGAGGTGACAGACAAGGTAAGCAATCAGAGCTCCGACTGATTGTTCACCTTCTCCCCATCTTGCAGCAGCATGAAGGATAAAGAGAAGAAAAAATGAGAAGAGATGATATGAGATACTTTTGCTTTTGAAGAAGTAACTTTCCACAGGCTTATTCTTGAACTGAGCTGGAGGGTTTTCTGGTTTCCTCCAGAGTATAAGGCCGACTGAAGAATTTGAGGGTCAAAACAAGTCCATCAAATCTAGAGTACGTTCCGACCCTGCTGATATGGGATACTTTTGCTTTTGACAGAGTAATGGATGTATCGGCACGTGTGCTGTTACGCTTGTCTCCACATGCTTCCTTGTATCCTTCGCACTTGCCCTATCTGTTCCTCAAGCAGATGCGGAATCTTCCCTGGAAACATAAGATGTTGAAGATGAGTACTCGAGAGCAATGCCAGGTAAGTAATCAGGTAAGGGGTTCCAGGCAGTCAGTTCCTGGCTGGAAGCTTGATTCCAAGTGCTGACTGATTGCTCTCTTTCTCCTTGTCTTGCAGGTAAAGAACAAGGCCAAAGGAAAAGACAGGGAAAAAGCATGATATGGGATACTCTTGCTTTTAACCCTGATGATATGAGATATTCTTGCTCTAGTATAGCTTGTTTGCAGAGGTATTATCGGGGGGAAAGAAAGCTGAATATTTCGAAAGGCTTCGTTGGGAGTGCCCTCTCAGATATGATGAAGGGTTGAGCATTTTTGCAGGTCTGCCTGTCCGTTGGGGATGGAGGTCGACATATATAGGAGTCTCCCTAACAACAAGTAGTAATGCTATTCCTTTACCCTGCTTGGTCATAGCACGGTAGTGGGAGCTGCCAGCTTCACATGTTTTAACTCTGTCAGAGCACTTTGAAAAAGTGGTCTGTGGTATCTGGAAAGCTGATGTTGCGTGTGAAGATTACAGACAAGCTTTATCCAAGGAGATCCAGCTCTTGAAGTTGGGAAAGTGGTGCCTCTTCGGTTTTGAACAAGCAATCCTGTCGGGGATCTGGCTCTCGAGATTCGGAGAACGATGCCTCTTCGATTTTTGAGAAAGCAATCATGCTGGGGGTCTGGCTCTCGAGATTCGGAGAGCAGTGTCTCTTCGATTTTTGAGAAAGTAATCATGTTGGGAGTCTGGCTCTCGAGATTCGGAGGGCGGTGCCTCTTCGATTTTGGAGCAAGCAATCTTGTTGGGAGTGTTTTCTCGAATGTGAGTAAAGGTTGGGCATGTTTGCTAGTCTACCTTGCCACGAAGCACAGAGGTTGACACACAGGGACTTTCCAATTATCCAGCAAGTGGTACTGTTCCTTTACCCTCTCTTCGATTTTTGAGAAAGTAATCATGTTGGGAGTCTGGCTCTCGAGATTCGGAGGGCGGTGCCTCTTCGATTTTGGAGCAAGCAATCTTGTTGGGAGTGTTTTCTCGAATGTGAGTAAAGGTTGGGCATGTTTGCTAGTCTACCTTGCCACGAAGCACAGAGGTTGACACACAGGGACTTTCCAATTATCCAGCAGTGGTACTGTTCCTTTACCCTTTCTTCGATTTTTGAGAAAGTAATCATGTTGGGAGTCTGGCTCTCGAGATTTGGAGGGCGATGCCTCTTCGATTTTGGAGCAAGCAATCTTGTTGGGAGTGTTTTTCTCGAATGTGAGTAAAGGTTGGGCATGTTTGCTAGTCTACCTTGCCACGAAGTACAGAGGTTGACACACCGGGACTTTCCAATTATCCAGCAGTGGTACTGTTCCTTTACCCTTGTGGGTAATAATATGGTAACTAGACCTTCAAAATTTATGTGTCTAAACTTTGTTAGTGTTGTTTCTTTGCTATTCTTTTACCCTTCTTGGTCAGAGCGATGTAGTGGGAGCTGCAAGCTTTGTTGATGCAAGAGCAAATCCCTTATAAGCATAAAATATTTTCTCATAGGATAAACGCTGAAGTTTGCATTGCTGGACCATTCTAGAAGTTAGACACCAAACCGACACAATGATGAAAGAACCAATTCATGAAATTATTACAGATATCCAAAGAAGCCAACCAACAGCCATGAGTCATGTCAAATGCATTGCCCATTCGCCGTTTACAAATTTGGGACACAGAACAAGTGGCAATAGTTATAACTCAGCCCGACATTAATTTTCTCAAAGGAACGGATTCTACTATGCATTTTTTTAACTCTTGCCGGTTTTATCTGCGAGTATACTAATTAAGCGGAATATGTATTGTAGACAAAAAAACATAGGAGAGCATGCGAATAAGTAGTACCTCAATCATGAGAACTCCAGGCATAATAGGCCTTTCTGGGAAGTGGCCAGGGAAAAAGTTATCATTTATGGTCACATTCTTAATAGCAACAGCTGAAACCCCAGGATTGTACTCAATCACTCTATCCACTAGAAGAAAAGGGAACCTGTAACACAACCCACAACAACCTCAAAAACAACATTAAAAACATCAAACACTCTAAGGAAACAAAAATCAACACTTACCTGTGGGGCAAGATTTCAAGTATCTGATTAATATCCATTACCGTAGGAAATGCTGGGTATTCTGTGAAGACCCATATCAATTTCTTCAGAAACAAATCCATATTCAAACCCAGAAAATTATGAAATTGACAAAAAAAAAAAAAAAAAAAAAAGGAGAAAGACGTTACGCTTTTCAATGGGTGTGTCTTGGGCTGTGCTGTCTTGTACATTTAGAGAACAACATGCGAAGAGATTGGGGTGGCGATTGGATTTGAGACAAAGAGAAGGAGAAATTGGAAGAGCAAGAGAGGTGGGAGAGTGAAGGATTCTTAGGTTTCTGGGTTGGGTGAGTGACTGAGCAGGAGCGAGAGAAAAAAGGGAGCTTGAGATAGCTGCTGACATTGTTGGAAACAACAACGCCCAACACCTAGAACAGCGAAGGCAGTGAGATGTGAAATGAAAAGTTTTGAGGGGGAGAAGAGGGAACTTGAGACTTGCTTGGTTAACGAGTTGTTCAACTGCTTCGTGTGTTGGATTGGGACTCAGATTGGTAGATTGGCTTCGTTATTGACTTCTTGACTACATCCAGGAAAGGACTACTAGGGCCCGTTTGTTTGACCGGATTAGGGAGGACTGGACTGGACTATACTATAATCCTTTGTTTGGTTTGCACCAGGATTAGGTTTAATGGGCTTAGCACGGACTCGCTCGGATTATACGCCTCCTCAGCCGTTCTTAACGAGGATCCCCAATTTTGGGCGGACTCGTAAGCCAGAGAAAACCACGAGAGATTTTCTGTGTCTTCCCTCATCATCCTCATCTCTACATGCTCCCTCATCGTCATCCTTGTCGTGCTCCCTCATCGTCGTCCTCCTCACCCTCATCTCTGCGTCTTCCCCCATCTGCATCTGCTCACCCTCATCTGCCTCGAGTTGTCTGGTAAACTTCGAATCTTCGATTTATTTCGTCAATTTGTGTTGTAGATCGTGATATTACTGAGCTTTATTTGATTTTGTTGTTTTGGGTTTGAAAATTTTTCAATCATAGACCTCTGCACTTGAACAAATTAGGGTTTTGATATTTAGGTGAAATTGAGATTAGAATTTGGGGTTTTCATAGGATGAGATGGAACTTGGGAATTTAGAATGCCAAAGTTGTCAAAATTGCAAGTCCTACCCACATTCTGTTTTTGCAGACTTATTTCGGACTAAAGGGAGCTCTCGGAGATAGGATGTTCGACTTAGTTACCCAGCAAAGCAAAAACGAAAAGCTCACCTTTGAAGACTTAGTTATTGCCAAAGTAATTTTTTTTTCCTTGAAAATCTTGTGAATTTTGCGCTATTTGTTTCGTATTTTTGAGTTTTATCATATGCCCATTTACTTTATTTTGCTTCCCTTTTTGTGGGTTTTCAGGGGATTTATGAGAAGGGAACGAAAGATGACATTGAAGAATTCATATATCAGTTGTTAGACGTATCCGGGGATGGCATTGTGGGAAGGTAGAATTGGAACTCCAACTTTATCGAGAATATATGATATAGATTCATATATTGATTGCAATTGGTTGAAGTATGTGGTTTTGTTATATCCTGTCTACAGAACCAGTTGTTGTGTCCTGTAGTTTTGATTCTGTTGGCATGGTTTTAGTAAGTTTCACAACATGATTTTCGTCAATTTTGTGGAATAGAAACGCAACTAGCATTTGAATGATTTAAAGTTGATAGAAATAAGAACATTGTCTTAAAGTATGGCATTGTCGTATTACATGACTTGGGTTATACTTGTTACTGTGGCTTGCAATTCATAGGAGTATATGGGTGCTGCGTTAAGTAGTTTAGTTACTGTTGTTTACTTTAAGTTCACAGTGTGATATTTCTTCAGATTCGTTGAATAAAAACGTACTAGTAGCCCCTTCAATAATTTAAAGTAAATAGAGATAAGAACATATGGCATATTGCATGACTTGGTTTACTTCTTGTTGTGGCTCCAGTAAGGATGGAAGAGTTTCGTGATTTCTACTTATAATGTGATAAGAAGTACGTCTTTGTATTATTTTTATGTCTTGTCTGATGTGTATGATATTAGGATGTGTTCTGGGTGCAATGTTTGACAATATATTCAATATGGACAACCCTGAACGTGGATCAAGTGCACATCAGGGCAATGTCGTTGTATTTCTTAATGCTGCAAAGTTTACTAAGCATGGGAGTCTTCCATATGTGTACTCTGTGTGTGTGTGTGTGGGCGCGCGTGCTCTATGTGTGTGTGCGCGCGCGCGCTTTGTGTGTGTGTGTGTGTCTATGTGTGTACTCTGTGTGTGTGTGTGTGTGTGAAATTGTAAAGTTTTTGTAGAAGACACGTAGATAATAGATACACCTTATTGACCTTTGGTTGAAAAAGATTAAAAATGTGTTTTGGCAATGATAAATAATGATGATGATCTCTGCAATGTAGAATTAAGCACAATCATGCGCATACACAATGTGGGATTATTCAGGGCAATCAAATCGGAATTCAAGAAAGTGTTCGTCCAAAGGCTTTTAAGTGACAAAGCAAGCGGATGAATATATTATGTGGTGCCTTTTGACATGGATGTATTTTATTAATCGTACAATCTGAGGTTATGACTTATAACTTAGCTTTGCACTATGAAGTATTTTGGCTAATGTTAACTAGGATTTTGTAAATTATGGAGATCTACTTTGGAATGCTATACTATAGTTAACTGGCATTTTGTAAAATATCCTGGATGAAAGTTTAGTGAATGATGTTTTAAGAGTCAATCAATGGCAAAGATTGACTTGTCACAAGTATCTTCTTATGTACTTGCATTTGTTGAAGTTGCATGTATTGGGCACTATTTTTTTTTCTTCTTTTGGGTGATAAAGTTTAAACCAAGCTACATTTGCAGATTAAACTCAACTATTTATAAATAGTATGTCCCATTTCTATTAGTAGGTGCTAGAAACAAAACAATTGTCTTTTTTTTTAAGATTCATAATATACATGGCAAAAATATGCTCCAATTAACCCATATCATGAGATTTGTAGCATTACTTTATTACATAGTGGCAAAAATTTGTTGGGCACATGTATTGGAGCTATTAAAATAGAACAATAATGTAGTCCTAGTCTAAGCAAACACAAATCTGGTGAATAGTACTGATTTCATTATCTTGCTTCTTAGTCCGACACTGCACCAAACGCTTCACTAAGTTAGTCCAGCTTAGTCTAGTCTAAGCCAGTCCAGCTTAGTCCCTGTAGCTAGTCTAGTCCGAGACAGTCCGGTGCAACAAACGCACCCCTAAGGCCTAGGGGTTGAGAAAATATGTTGAAAATCATAGAATTGTTGTGAAATTGAGGATATGTATACAGTGGAATAAAATAAGTGAGACATAATATTTACGAGGTTCAGCAAGTGTGTTTACATCCTCGAAGCAATAGCATCAGTCTCTCTCATTATCAAACTGAAATTACAAAATAATGGAAACAAGTGATAACATGCTTGCTTCTCTATTATGTTTGCATATTTGTGAGTTGTAGGTCTTTATATAGGAAAACTATATCTTCTCTGTTAAGGCTAAGAGATGTGAAAGTAGGTACCAAACCTTCAACATTTGTTGGCTGACATAAAATGGTAGATGATGCATATTTCTTCATGTGGGTCATCCACTTTTATAACACTCTCTCTTGGATGACCACAAGTATTTAATTGACTGTTTTTAAAATTTGTCCAATAACTCATGAGATGAATGGATGGTTTTAAAGGAAACAAAAATACTTTGCTCATGTAGCATACTCTTAGACGCTCACCTTGGTGATATCTCCCCCTGATTAGAATAAGCTTAGATTAACTAACTTCTCATCATACCAATGTGTGTTGGTGCAATTCTTGAGCTTCTGAAGTGAAAACTTTGGCAGATAGTTGGTGAGGTTTGATCGGATCATATTTATATATATTTTTACTTCGATTTCACTCGTCTTTTCTTAGTTAGTTCCTTATATTTTGAGCTATTTACGTTATTTTTGTGTTTATAAGATTTGATATGTTTTGTAGAAAGAATAAAGAAAAGAAAAGGAAAAAAATAAAAAATAAAAGAAAGAAGAAAAGAAATGAAAAAAAATAAAGAAGGATAATGAGGGGGGATCCAAGAGAGACAGGTGGGCTGTCTGTGACGAAAAAGAAATAGCTGCGTGGGCAGCTGTGTGATGACAGTCAAAAGCTAGGGTGAAAGCTGCTTTGCAGCTGGTCAAAGGGAATAAAAATAAGCTGGAAAAGTGGAGGGCAGCCTGGCTGCCAAAGTGAAAGACATGCGCATAATAAAAGAAACAGAAAGCACTGCATAGTGGGGTTGGCAGCGGGAGAATAGAAGGAGGAGAGAGGAGAGGAGATACAGGGGGAGCTGCCTTTGGGCAGCTCGCAGAGAGCGCAGGAGGCAGAGAGGAGACGGGAGTAAGAGACCAGGAGAGAAACGAGAGGGCAGGAGCCTGGGAGGAAAGCTGCCTTTGGGCAGCTTTAGCTAGGAGCGGAAGATACAGAGGGGGGTCTTGGAGCGGGAGAAAGGGGCTGCCCTTTGGGCAGCTCGCAGAGACGCAGGAAGGAGAGAAGGTCAGCAAGGACTGGGGTGAAGGGTGGTCAGTAAGGGGGATTGGTGGAAGGCAAGAGCTGCCATTTGGCAGCTGGGGCTGGACCGAGAGAGAGAGGTGAGCACGGGGGGGGGGGAGTCCAGGGAATTGTCAGCGTGAGGATTGTGGAGGGCTGCCCTTTGGGCAGCGTGGGAGGTCAGGAGAATAGCAGCTTGAGCATGGGGAGATAATATAGAAGGCAGCAAGGAGTTGACGTGCAGGAGAGTGGAGAGAACTGCGCAGAAGCACAGAAGATCTTTTTTCTCTTTCGGTTTAATCTTTCCAAACTTCTATTTTATTTCTGTTTCAATAATGTGTAATTAAATTTATTTTGGCTAGAGGTTAATTCAAAGCCATGAATATATTTGTAATTTGAATTGATTACCTTCAGTTGTGATTTCTGAGTTGTGATTTAATTTGCTTAACTGCTTGATTGATAACTTATTTTTGAATGTCGATTAAGGATGCATACTTAATTTACATGCATGAATTTGATGCTAGAATATAAGTGAATTTCACCTAATCGTTATGAACTTATATTCACAAGTAGTGAAGGTTGCTATCCACAATCGTGTTAAGTAAATTCTTGGCAAGAGTATCATGCTTTTCATAGTTACAAATGTCTCGTCAATGCTTATAGTTTTCACAAAGTTTAATGATCTTTGATTGTATCTCTATTGTGCTTTTCACGTAGGGGACTTTTGAAGAATGTTTTGAATTGTTGTATGCGTTTTCCCGTCCAATTCAATAACTTAAGGAAAACTTGAAGATTAAAAAAGTGCTGTTCACGGTTAATCTGGAGTATTGAAATTCACAACTTATTGAAAGAATAACTGAAAATTAATTTAGGTTGCATATGTGTCATGTGTGGAGAAGAACCCTCTAGATAGTCCGTCATTTATCATTTTACCTTAATTTTATGTTTTTAT